CTTGCTCGTTACTTCAGCCTACACAACAGTCTGTTGGCCTCTGGGGATGCCAAGTGTTTTCTGTACATCATCATCTCCTAGAAGGAGCTCTTCCTCTTCCATATGTATCGAGCATCTACCAACATCAAAGCGCTCTAGAAGGTACATCAGAAGTTCACAATCACACAAGGATAGTGTTGCATTTAAAAGGGATCCAAATCCCATATCTCGAACAGCTTGGTGCTGTTCCGAGCTCAGACTACTGACAAGTGCACAGAGCTACTTTGGGGAGGTCCGCACAGATAAATAATCAGTGTTTCTTGGTTTTTTCTTCTTCTGTTTTTCATCATTTCTTATTCTCTTCGGGGCTTTGTCAGGTTCAGCAGCTGTACTGGCATGGGTTTTCTTTTGTTTTTTGGGAGCAGGTTGTTTGGGGGCATCACCGGCATCTGTTCTGGTTTCAACACCTGTTGATGCAGCAGCGGTATTTTTCTTTCTTTTACCATCTTTGGCAATTTGTCATAATGTAGGATGACACGTGGTTGGAGGCGTTGATGTAGGTGCAACATTCTTTGTTCTGGGAGATCTCCGGGGATTAGTTTTTGTAGTGGTTGACATATCTGTAACAACACAATACACATAAATACAAATATAAGGAATACAAAACACTAATATTAACACCAAACAGGCAGTAGATTGGGATTGGGAATTTTACAGGGTTGCAAATGTATAATGTACATAATCTTATGAATGAATACACATAATATATAACTAGGATACACATAATTTTGAATATAAGATAACTGGTTATCTATGATGAGGTATAGCAACTGAGAACATTAATGTACTTAATATTATATCAGAATAAACACAAGTATAAGTAATATGTAACCCTAGTTGACATAATAACATAATACACATAATCACAGTTCTAAATAATAGGTAACACTAATATTAACACCAGACAGACAATATATTGGGATTAAGAAGTTTACATGGATGCAAATGTGTAATGTACATAATGCTATGAAGAAATACACATAATATAACCAGGATACACATAATTTTGGAATACAAGAATAATGACTATATATGATGAGGTATAGCAACTGAGAACACCAATGTACAAAATATCATGAATGAATACACATAACATATACCAGGAATACACATAAATATATCAGGAATACACATAATGTTGAGTATAAATGATAAGGTATAGGACCTGAAAACAGCAATGTACATAATCTTAAACCAGAATATACACAAGTCTAAGTAATATGTAACCCTAGGTATCGTTGCTGTATTAACACAATGAAGTAATAGCATGAATGTTTGGACTAAGAAGTAATATTAGTTATGCTTACTTGTATCTTTGCGATGTTGTATGCTCCTTTTACAGAAGAATGTGGTGAAGTATTTGCGGTTTTTGGCGTATTTGGCGGAAAAACAGTGATCGTTTTTGAATTTCAGGGAGTGGTAATGGAAAGACTTCGTGAAGAAGAAAGGTTTGATATATATATATATATATATATATATATATATATATATATATATATATATTGGACGGACGGAGAGGCGTCCGTCCCGTCAAATGTCCACTAACGGACTAATCTTAAAACGCCACCGTTTAGCACATAGGCGCATAGACCTACGTGCAACGTGGTGTATGATATAACGATTGGTAAAAATATCACTGCATCTAATAGTCTAATTGACTGAAAATAAGAAAGAATAATTGGCTAAAATGAATATGATATTACTAATTGACTTAAAATATAAAAGGATCACTAATTGACTGATATTCTACCATTATATATTTTCACCCGAGTCATCATCCTTATGGACTGAAGGTGTTAGCTCTAGACGAAGATGGACAAGATTGTGTTGCTATTACCAATGTTGTCTACAAAGATGTTTCAATAATGTGTAAATACAATCGGTGATATTATGTTTTTTTAATGACAAAATTGCTATATATCTAGACAAAAAATATATTTTTCATACAAATGAATTAGGATATCAATTCATTCATATAACTGAGTTGCTAAAGAATGAGCACATTTGCCTAATTTATAAAAATACTGAACAATGATAAATAAAATCTCCAAAGCTACAACACCGCATGCGTACATCTACACATTAGCTATTAATTTGAACAATTATTTGCTCAAATTCAAGCAATGATAACATAAAAACACAAAGGATCCAAACCATACATTCAATTGCACTATATAATATTTGATGTTATAATTTAAATAATTATATATCGATCCAAATATTCTTAATATATTACAACAAATTCATTCCCTGCATCACACGGGTGAAAATACTAATAACAATAATAATCCAAACAAAACCAAATACAAAATAAAATTAAAATAAAATAAAATAAAAAAGAAGAAGAAGAAGAAGAAGGGAAAGGGGAGCCACGGGCTCCCTTTGTAAATGATGTGGGATCATTTTGATCCCACATTGAAAATGTTTGAAAAGAGGAGCTCTTGAGCTCTTCTATATAAGAGATACAAACATAATTGTTTGTCCATCAACGTAGCAAGTATTGAGAAGTCAAAATGTTATTATTTAAGAAACTTTAGGGGGCGTTTACTAACATGAAATTTTCAAGAATTTCCGGAAACAGAAAATTGAAAACAGTCTAGGTGTTTACTATACTCTTTTCCCATTTCCAAAATTGAGAACTATTCTTCATTTTTTCAAGAAATTTGGAACGCAATAAAAAATTGTTTTCAGATTTGAGAATACACGCGTGAATAGTAGGTCTACCCATTGAATCCATCCGCAAGCCTTTTTTTTTTTTTCTTATTTCTTCATTACTTTCTTCTTCTCCGGTGCTTATTTCTTCATTACTTTCTTCTTTCTTTCCGATGCTTTGCTGCTGCTACCCATTGAATCTGCTTTCATTGTTCACCAACGTCGCTGCCCACCTCCGGATCCATATCTTCTCGCTAGCTACCACACCGGAAAACCCTCGCCCACCATCCAAGCTCTGCCCGACGCCGCTGCAATCTGCCGAAGACGAAAGAGATCGCTGAAGCCTACTGTCGTCTTGCAAACATCCAGCTGCACCGTACATGTCACCGTCACATGATTCCTCGACGAGAGGGGCGCGAAGGACCATGACAGCGGGAGTGATCTCATCCAACAGCATTCATCCGAGTGTGGAATTCGCCGGATCCGCTATCACCGTTGACTAGTGAGTTGCCGACTGGAGGGCTCTCAACCGAGTGGACTTTGTTTACCGGCTGGAGGGCATTTTCAGTTGGATTGTGAAATTATAATGCACAGATCTCTGGTTCTGTGTTGTTCAGTAGAAAATGCCAGGCAGTGAAAGAAATAAGGAAAATCACAGCACTGTAGTTTGGAATTATTGCAATTGAAGTAGGAGATTGAAGAAAAGGTTGAGAAATAATTGATTTCAATATGTTATTTAATTAATTAGTTGCTTGGAATTATTATAGATATTTTTTTTTTGAATAAGGAATAAGGAATTGTCTGATGTGTGCCTCCAGTTTTGAATCAATGGTTCATCTCTTTTGTGAATGTCCAGTTGCTGCACAAGTCTGGGGCGGAAGTGATATTGCGAATGGTCGAAGTTTTGTGGCAGTTGTGGAGGAGATTCTGGACCTTAATGACACACCTCAAGACTTGCGCATGGATGTCCGGTTATGGAGTTTGTGGAAGGTGCCTAATGATAAATTATGGAACTCCAAGGACTGGACCATTAATATGATTCTGGTTCATGTTGACAGTTTGGTTACGTTATGGCATCAGACCTTCTAAAAAAAATCAAAACAGAGAATTGAAAACAGTTTTCGAAAACAGAAAATAGAAAACAGAGAATAGAAAACTGAGAAAAATTTTCTATTAGTAAATGGGCCCTTAGCTTTGTTTCTTTTTTTTTTTTTTTAGTTTTTTATTATTTATTTATTATTAGTGGGGTTTGGAAAAGATTAACTCAAAATGTATGTGTTGTTTTAGTTTTTAATTAATAATTGATTGCAAATAAAAAAATGATCCATAATTGACAAAAAAATATAAAGAAATAGTCAGATCATTGCATTTTAATTAACAATTGAAGGAAAATATTTCAATAATAATATTCTACATTATCAATAGTAAATGCATATTTTAAACAATAGTAAAGGTAAATTAAAAATAGAATGGAAATATTTCAATAATAATATCTACATCATCAAATAAAAATTGAACGAAAATTAGGTAAAAATATCATTGCATTTGATATTCTAATTGACTGAAAAAATATAAAAAAAAAATAATTGGCTAAAAATGAATCTGATATTACTAATTACCTGAAAATATAAAATGATAACTAATTAAGTAATATTCTACCATTATATATTTTCACCCAGATAACCCGTTTTGATGGATTGAAAGTGTTAGCTATAGACGAAGATGAACAAGATTGTGTTGCCACTACCAATGTCGTCTACAAAGAGGTTTCAATAATGTGTAAATATAATCGGTGATATTAAATTTTTTTTTTTAAATGAAAAAATTATTATATATCTTGAGAAAAAAATATATCTTCCAAATACAAGTGAATAATGATAGCAATTCATTTCTATAACTGAGTTGTTAGAGAACGATCACATTTGCTTAATTTATGAAAATACTAAACAATGATAAATAAAATCTTCAAAATATAGCACCGCATGCGTACATCTAAATATAGCTATTAATTTGAGCAATTATTTGCACAAATTCAAACAATGATAACATCAAAATATATAAATGATCTAAATATCTTTAATTGTACTATATTATATTTGATATTCTAATTTAAATACTTATATATTAATTCATATAGTATTAATATATTACAACAAATTCAATCCGTGCATCGCACGGGTGCAAATAGCTTAATAATAGTTTACTGACGAGAAACTATGGCGGCTTGCAAAGCGTATGGTGTGCCACGTGGACTCCCAGAATTGGACTAACTTAATAATTAATAATTTTACAGGGTGGAAATTCCTAATTATTGACTTATTACTGCTAATTAAGGATTTATTGTCCCAACTCCTATATATAATTTCACCCATTCTTGTAGTTCTCTTCTGATTTACGGAGTATATGATCTCTCTCTTTCTCTCTCTCTGCGATTCCTATCGTTTTCTGGGTACCAATCTCGTTGACCTGAGTATTCTTTGTTGTATCTGTAATCTGTGAATCCATTCATGGATGGGAATAATTGGAGAACGGCCCAAGCTCAGGGTCAGGCGCCGGCCGGCGATGCCACCGCCCCGGCACCGGTGCCGGCAAACGGAGCTGTCGAGACTGGCGATTGGCGGGCTCAGCTACAACCAGAATCGCGTCAGAGGATTGTCAACAAGATGTAAGTCTCTCACACTTTTTTTTGGGGGGGGGGGGGGGGGGATTCTCTAGGTAATATACATTTGATTTCTGGTGATAATTGTTTTTTTTTTTTTTTTTTTTTAAATTCTTACTGGAGCTTTATGATTTATGGTTTGCAAATTGGAGGGCCTTTCCGAGCTTTTCTATCATCGCTACTGTTAATCCATATCTTACGCTGATTGATAAGCATGAAGAATTGCACATAGATTCCACTGGATATTGCTAATATTCATAGGATCACAGCTAAGGAATTTATCTTAATCAATGGGGCCATAAACATACTCGTATTCAATAAGGCCAATGCTTCTTGTTTTATTTCTTGAATTATTATTGTAACAATGTACATGTTTTGGACATACTATCTATACTCGGTGAGATACGGCTTGAAGGTAGAGAAGGGTGCAAGACTGCTTTTACTTGTCTTGTATTTGCAACTCCTACTGTCTGCTAGGAGAAAAGAAAATCTTAAACACTTTATTAGGTTTGTGTATGATAATCCTTGTACATTTATGTTTGGTTAATACTGGAGTGCTTGGGGTTGGCTCTGAAGTGCTTTTCTTTTACATATGATACTATTTCCATATTTGTTACACTGATGGATATGTCTTTCAACTGTGATGGCTATAGAATGGAGACTTTGAAGAGGCATCTTCCCTTCTCTGGACCAGAAGGGCTTCATGAGCTTAGGAAAATTGCAGTAAGGTTTGAGGAAAAGATTTATGCTGCTGCTGTTAGTCAGGTGTGTATGTGATGTGTGATTACCAATATCTCTCCATTGTTTTAAGTATGATGCATATTTATATATGATAATTATTGAATTGGTTTACTCTTTTATTTTTAGTACCAGAATATTCTGTGTGCAATCTATATATATATATATATATATATATATATATATATATATATATATATATATATATATATATATATATATATATATATACAGACACACACACACACACACACACACTCTCTTAAGGCCTTAATGACACCTTTTCCTTCCTTGTCTAATTTTATTGCAGTCAGATTATCTGAGGAAGATATCTTTAAAGATGTTGTCTATGGAGACAAAATCACCAACTCCCATGTCCAATTCTCTGCAGTCTAACAATACATCTAGTGCTCAGAATCCCCAACTTCCAGGTGAAATAACAGGAGCCTCATGTATTTGTACATTTTGTTCTGCTTTAATTAATATGTAAAAGTCCCAACTTGGTTGAAGAGGACATTTGACTATATATTCAATCTAATTACTCTATTCTCTAAGTTAGAACTTAGAAGATTCTTTTTCATGTAGGTCTTTGTTTAGTACAGAAATTCTTTGGTAGATGATTCTCCTTTGCTATGCTTTATTACCATTTCTGAATATCAATTTTTTTTTTTTTTGTATTAATTAATTTTGGCATATAATATTTAATTTTGGAATATGGTTGTTCATATTTTACTGTATTTTAAAATTTAAAATGATTGCTCTCCATTATTATTGGTGTGCTTTGTTTGTTGTTTAGCATTAGTATGATTTTGACACATTTCTTGGCATTCAATGATCAGTACATTCTGTTGTTTCTATAGGGACACACAATGTAATGCAAAACCAGGTTAACGGCCAAGGACAGCCACTCTCTATTCCAATGGTGACCAATCAATCTCAAACACGACAGCAATTGGTGTCTCAGAACATTCAGAATAATATAACATCAACTGGACTGCCAAGTTCTGCAAATATGGTGCCTGCACTCCCTACTGGCAGCAATTTGGCTCAACCTAGTGTGGCAAATGTTGTCAACCAATGTTCTGGTTTGCAGAATATTCAAGGTATTCCCAATGTTTCTCAAAACTCAGTGGCAAACACCATGGGCCAAGGGATGGGTTCCAATATGGTAGCCAATTCTCAGAGACAGGTGCAGGGAAGGCAGCAACAGGTTATTTCCCAACAGCAGCAGCACCAGCACCAGCACCAGCAGCAACAACAGGTTATTTCCCAACAGCAGCAGCAGCAGCAGCAGCAGCAACAACAACAACAACAACAATCTCAGAATTCACAACAAATTCTTTACCAGCAGCATTTACACAATCAAATGATGAAGCGATCTTTGATGCAATCTCATATGCAACAACAGGAGCGGCAGCAACAGCAAAACTTACTACAACAGAATCAGATCCAATCATCTCAGCAAGCTGTCATGCAGCCTTCTCTTCCGCAGAGCCAACAAGCTTCTGTTCAACAACCAACTCAATCTGTACTTCAGCAACGTTCACAATCAGTCCTCAGGCAACAACAAAGTCAACAGCCTCCAATGATTCATCAACAGCAAGGATCACTGCTGCAGCAGTCACTGATGCAAAACCAACAGCAGCAACAACAGCAGCAGTTGATTGGTCAGCAGCAGAGTGTTGCAAATATCCAACAGAACCAGTTGATAGGCCAACAGAACAACTTACTTGACATGCAGCAATCTAGGGTGATTGCCCAACAAAATAACTACTCAAACATACAACAGCAGCAATTAATTAATCAGCAGAATAACCTTCAGAATATACATCAGCAATTGAGCAGTCAAGGTAATGTCGTTGGGCTACAGCAACAGCAGATGCCTGGAAATCAATCCTCTAGTTCTGGATTGCCTACTAATCAGCATCCTATCCAAATGTTACAACATTCAAAGGTTCCAGTGCAGCAACAAATGCTGTCAAATTCCACAATATTGCAAACGCAAGGTCTTCATTCGCAAGCACAGCAGACACAGCAGCAGATGATGTCTCAGAGTCAAGCACAACCTGGAGCATTGCAACCACCATTAGGATTGCAGCACCAACGAATTCAAGCATCAAGTCCCTTGCTTCAACAGAATGTGATTGATCAACAGAAGCAACTTTTTCAGCAGCAGAGGACCACTCCAGAAGCCTCATCAAGTATTTCTTCTCTTCTCTCCTGAGCTGACCCAATTTTAAACTCATGTTGCATATTTCTGATAGATGTTCTCTTTATGCTATAAATTCTGAAGCATCTTCTATTTGCAAATATCTGAACCATCTTAATGGGACTGTCAGTGTTTTCCAAGTCACCTTTTGCTTTTGGATTTGCTTCATATAATGTTGACCAAATAGTGGCTGTATCCTCCTGAATCCATTATCCATCACCATCACCTTTGTTATTGTTATTGTTGCTGTGGGACTGGGGGTTGATGTATAAAGAAAATTTCCTATTTAATTGCAACTTCTGGCCTGTTTATCATTTTTATTGCATTTTGTACAATTTGTTTCTGCAGCTGTAGCTTTATTTAAGTTTTTCACCATTAAAAGCTACCTAACTCTATTCTACATTTATAATTGTGGTATAGCATCTCTGGATTCAACAGCTCAGACGGGAAATGCAAATGGAGCTGATTGGCAGGAAGAGGTTTACCAAAAGGTACATCTCTCTTTTTTTTTTTTTTTTTATTATTTTTTTTAACTGTAACTTCATGAAAGGTAGTAGATTCACAGAAGATTACTTAAAAGGATTCTGTCTGGGTGCAGAAACGGAGTGGACTTGTTAAATTTGACCGGTCATTAAAACATATCAATAAGAACTAGCTGGAGATGGGAATATATCATTGAACATGGACACAAAAACCACTGGGGATTAAAAAAACAATTCTGACATTTCATTTTTTGTTTAGTGTTTACACATTTGGGTTATTTGAAACACCATTGTAGTGTTTTTCTATACGATTCAACTTGGGATAATCATCTAAATATTTCTAGAGTGCGAAGATCGTTATGCTTGAAAGTGAGAGGAAAGACTTGGTGAGGGTTATGAGCTCAGATTTAAACTCAGAGAGATTTGCATGCAATGACTGTAAGAAACTAAACAGTACTGACATATAAGTCATATGGTGTGTGTATGCCATCTGTGATTGCTATAGGATGATGTGTGTATACTATGAACTATCTGTGATTGCTGTGGGCCAAGAATAGAGGAGAAGACAATAATATCTTCTTATTGTTTAATGAGTTAATAATCTGGACTCTGGGACAAGATAATCTCAACAACTTCAATAAAATATGTTTTCTATGAGGAAAACGTCTTTTCTATTCTAATTTTCTTCGACTTAGTTGATGATGTTAGACACAAGCTGAAGTTGTGTGAATTCCATGTTTTCCCTGTTAAACAGAAATGCATACAAGTGAGTTGCAGAATTGTTTGTGAGTTTCTCTATTTTTCAGCACCTACAAAGTTTTAGCATTTGCATTCTATGACCATGATATTTTTAATCCTTGTTCTTAGTGATATTGCTTCTTCCATTTTCTTTTTGGGTCCATTTGGTGGTCTGGTTGTCATGTGAAAGTATTATGATAGGGATATTCTATGATGTCTGGAAGGATTTTTAACCCTGCAACTGAATCTGTGAAATTTTTATGCAGATCAAGTCCATGAAAGATATGTATTTTATGGATCTTACCGACTTGCATGGGAAGATTTCTACCAAATTGGCTCAGGTGAGATGAATGCATTTTACTTATTATATTGCGTCAGACCCTCTGAACATGTTAAGTTGTTAACTGTCTGTGTATAATAAGAGGAAGAGACATGAATCCTTGATGGCTGTCGATGCTCTTTGTTGCACTATATTCCTGACTTCTGTGTTAGATTCTATCCTAACACAATTTGTTTGTTCTTTGCAGTGTGAGTCTCTTCCTCAGCAACCCCCAACTGATCAAATTAACAAGCTCAGGAACTTTAAAAGTATGGTGGAACGCTTTCTACATTTCTTGCAGCTTAACAAGAGTGAGGTTCAGCTGCAACACAAGGAGAGAATGGTTTCCTATGAGAAACAAATACATTATTTTCTTGCTTCCAACAGGCCCCGAAAACCTGTGCAGCAAGGGCAACCTCAGCACACACATACTCATGACAATCAAATTAATCCTCAGATGCAATCTGTAAATCTACAGGGCTCCATGGCAACAATGCAGCACAGTTCATTATCATCTGTATCTGCTGTTTCAGGCTCTCAGCAGAACATGATAAACACCCTTCAACATGGTACTGGTGTGGATTTGGGGCAGGGTAGTTCATTAAGTTCACTGCAGGCGGTGGCTACTGGATCTTTACAGCAGAATCCTGTCAGTGGTCCTCAACAGATAAACATGAGCTCACTATCATCACAAAGTGGTGCAAATACACTGCAGTCAAACCTGAGTACCTTACAGCCGAGTTCTAATGTACTTCAACACCAGCATCCTAAACAACATGAGCAGCAGATGCTGCATAACCAGCAAATGAGACATCAAATGCAACAACAACAACTTTTGCATAAGCAACAGCTAATGCAACAGCAGCAGCAAATAAAGCAATCACAGACTCCATTGACAGCACATCAGTTGCAACAGCTTCACCAGATATCTGATTCTAATGATATGAAGATGAGGCAACAGATTGGTATGAATGGTATCAAATCAGGTGTGCTTCCACAGCATCAGTCCATAGGCCAGCGCGTGGCAGCACAGCACCCCCATCATAAGTCAAATATTTCATCACCTCAACTTCAACAGGCCTTATCTCCCCAGCTGTCCCAGCATCCATCTCCACAAATTGACCAGCAAAATATTTTGGCTTCTCTGACTAAAGCTGGAACACCTCTCCAATCTGCAAGCTCACCTTTTGTTGTCCCTTCTCCTTCAACTCCCTTGGCTCCATCTCCCATGCCTGGGGAGTCTGAGAAAGTTAGTGCTGGCATTCAGTCACTCCCTAATGCTGGAAGCATAGGGCATCAACAAGCTACTGGTGCATCTGCACCAGGTCAATCTCTTGCAATTGGTACTCCAGGGATATCAGCATCACCTTTGCTTGCTGAATTTTCCAGTCTAGATGGAGCACATGCAAATGTGTCAACCGTTTCTGGAAAGTCGAGTGTAGAACAACCCCTGGAACGCTTGATTAAAGTGGTAAGAATAAATTTTCTTGCTTATTTTGCATTGTACTATTCTTCTTCAAGTGGTAAGAATAAGTTTTCTTGCTTATTTTGCATTTTACTATTCTTCTTCAAATCCATGTCTAATTTATATGGTTTTATTCAGGCAAGTAGGATGTCTCCTGAGGCATTCAGTTCATCAGTTAGTGACATCAGCTCCGTTGTCAGCATGATTGACAGAATAGCTGGATCTGCACCAGGAAATGGATCAAGGGCAGCTGTTGGTGAAGATTTGGTTGCCTTGACAAGGTGTCGTCTGCAAGCAAGAAATTTCTTTACACAGGATGGACCTACTGGAACAAAGAAAATGAAACGGTATACAACTTCAAATGTAGTGTCATCTAGTGGAAGTGTGAATGACAGTTTTAGACAGCTGATTGGCTCTGAAACATCTGATTTAGAGTCTACAGCAACATCCAGTGCCAAAATGCCAAGGATTGAGGTATAATGTTCACTGTCATTCTTTTTCCTCAGAAATAAGTATCACCCATGACTTTCCCATTGCTATATGTTTTCTTCACTTTCATAAGGTATTCACATTCACTGCTGTTGCATCTTCTTATTCTCTTTCATTTAGTAGAAGAAAAAGTGACTGATTGATTCTTGGGTACAGATCATTATCTAGCCTTTGTACTCATAATTTACATAAACACTAGTATTGGCCCAGTGTTGCATGACAATTAGGATTCTTCTCATTCAGCAAAGACCAGTTAATGCCCTAGAGTGGCAGAGTGCTTGCATGATACCTCTGATTCTCTTAGAAAATAAGGAAGCATCAGAAAGGAACTGCCAAATCAACCAGTTGACTTTCTTAAACAAGGTTCCATCCATTACACTTGACTGCAATCCCCTTCTTCAGACTGCTTGCTCTTTTGATTAACTTGCTTAGTAAAGCAAGATAGTTGACTCCATTATTTTCCCTTTAGCTTTTCTCCTATTTGTTTCCAATTCCAGATCATTTGTTCTTTGTTATAATTTAAGATTGGGTTAGGGTCATTCAATTGGGCTATAATGCACAATGGGCCAAACCACACTAAAAGATTGAATATTTGAATCCAACCAATTAGCTAGTCTTACTCATGGCCTTATAAACCCCATATGTTCTTTCTTATTTTATCAATGTGGGACTCTTTAACATTCTTAAATGGTGGTTAGGGTGTTCCAGTTATTATCTTAGGGGGCGTTTGGTTCAGGTTATATTATATAACCAAGGGAATGTGACATTCCCGAGCTTACATTCCTATGTTTGGTTCATTTTCTCTGAGGGAATATAACATTCCCAGGGAATGCAACATTCCCTCCACATAGGATTTTGAAGGGAATGTGATTCCCTTCATTTTGTTAGGTAATGTAGGATAACCTTGCATATTTATGAATTTTGTCATTTTAATTCTAATTATTTAAAGATATATATTTTATGTTAGCTTATATATATATATAAAAGATAAGATAACCCTAAACCAAACATAATTATATTACATGCCTCAATTTTAACCAAACACAGGAATCTAACATTCCCAGTAATCTAACATTCCCAGCAATCTAACATTCCTAAGGTAATCTAGCATTCCGTGAACCAAACGGCCCCTAATGTGTTGATTTGTCTTTCTCAATGTCACAAGCATGCCAGTGGGCAGTTGATTATCTTGTGCAGGGAAATTACTTTTTAATTTTCTTTAGCCTCTCAATATAAAATATTGTTATTTAACTGTTGCAGGTTAATCATGCACTCATTGAAGAGATAAAGGATATTAATCGACGATTGATAGATACTGTAGTCGAAATCAGTGATGAAGGTGTTGATCCAAGTACTCGAGCTCCTGCAGCAGTTGGCAGTGAAGGTACCACCATTAAGTGTTCGTTCAATGCTGTAGCTCTAAGTCCAAATTTGAAATCACAGTTTGCTTCAGCACTAATGGTAAGATTTCATTCCACGCAGATTTAATTGCATGCAACAACTTATATTCATTTCTAGTTTGTTTGTTTGTTTCTTTTTTTAAATTGGATATTTTCTTTGTCTGAGCAGTCACCAATTCAGCCTTTGAGATTGCTCGTTCCTGCTAATTATCCGAAGTGCTCTCCTATACTCTTGGAGAAGTTCCCAGTTGAAATAAGGTCAGGAGTCAACTTCTAATTTGTTTTTGCCCCCATCATACCTATCTATCTCTGTCTGCAGTCTGCACACATACACACCACATGTTTCCAGACACCAAGAGCCACTTGGTTGCTTCATGCAGTGTAATTTTTTTCTTTGGTGAATAATACATTTGTCAAAATTTCTGGTTAAAAAGAGAAAAACTAATTAAAAAGGTGAAACCAAAAAGGGAGTAAGAAAAAAGAAAATTTCTATATGCCATTCCATGCTGCTGCATGCTTTAAGATTGTTATGAAAATTCTCCAGACCCTGATCTCCTTCTCTCTTTCCTTCCGTTTACCACTTGTACCTGCAAATTGAAGTATTATTGTGTTCACCATTCACTGATTGAAATGGTTTATGTTTGATATGCAGCAAGGAGTACGAGGATCTGTCGATAAAGGCCAAGTCAAGGTTCTGTGCATCTCTCAGAAGTCTATCTCAACCGATGTCATTGAAGGAGATGGCAAGGACCTGGGATATCTGTGCACGTGCAGTCATCTCCGAGTACGCGCAACAAAGCGGTGGGGGAAGTTTCAGCTCAAAGTATGGGACTTGGGAAAGCTGTTTGAGTAGCGGATGAGCAAACTCTTCTAATAATATACAGAGTAACATCAAAAGGATGTCTGGCTTTTGTTGCCTCCAATTCCGAGTATGGTCTGGAGTTTCAATGGCATAAAGGTTTTGTCAGCAGCATACTATTTTTTTTCCTCTTCCATACACATTTCTGTTTGTTTTCTTACAGCCTTGAGCCGACTGCCGAGCCATAGTAATGTTAGGTTGCTTTGCTTTTATTTGATCTGGCAGAGGCAAAATAGTGGGTATGTGAGGGGCAAATAGTAAAAGATTATATGTATAGTTCCAATAACATGAAACTATGAAAGGCTGCCTTGTGAGATGAGTTTTTTTTTTTTTTTTTTGCTGAAATGAAAGGATTTGCATTCCTTTTTCTCCCCTGTTGCCTGTATATGGACTATAAGTTTATATTATTCTCATGAGTTAATTCCAGCAACGGTCCTTTGACTATTGTGATTTTCCAAAATTAGTCTTCGACTTTTAATTTGGACGAAAAAGACACTTGACTTTTGAATTTGTTACAGCAATAGTCCTTCCGTTATCCATCCGTCTCTTAACCGTTAGTTTAGGGGCCAAAATAGTCTTTTCATCTGCTTGCTCTCTTCTCCATCATTTTCGTCCGTATATGACGCAGAGAAGCAATAGGAAGAACTCCATTGTTTCTCTGATCTGGCATGGTAGCAGATTGAACAATCAAAAGCCTCTACTCTCTTGGCAACTGCTAAACTAATTCTTCAAAGCCCTATAATTTCAACAGTTTTGCCACTAAACTGCAAAGTATGGTGGCAACAAATAAAGTTAGAATGAGTATTAAACTATCCATCCTTAAATGAATACAAGCTCTATACTTTTAAACAAACTTCTACCATTCTTTCGTAAAATTCTAGTCCTGAATGTAGATTATTTCAGAGTATTTCACCAAGCACTTAGAAGGCATATAGGGGGAAAACAAAGCAGAGAGGACCAAAATTAAACTATTTTAACCAGCACAGTTTTGTTCTCTGTAGCTAAAAATTCGATCTTTGTACTTTGTCTATAGAAAATGACATAAAAAGAAGCGATTGAACCTTGGTAGTCAACTTGAAGTCACCCGTCTTCCACAACCCTGTCCTCACAAATCGATCACACTCGCAAATCCTTCGGAGCACAACCAACATCAACCCGATTGCCAAGTCGGCGACATCCTCCGTCAACACGTCGGGGGTATTGGTAACCCGAATTCCCTTCTCCCTGCACTTGGCCAAGTCGATCTTATCCAAGCTGACGCTGAAACTGGAGACTATCTCCAGCTTGGGGAGCGCGTCAATCAGCTCCGCGTCAGCCCCGACGGAGGTGTTTCCGGTGACGACGTGGATCGCGTTGGTGTTCTCCCTCAGGAATTCCTTCTTCTGCGGGAAGTTCCAGAAGCGGAAGAGCTTGAACCGCTTGTCGAGTTCCTGTTCCAAGTGTGGGTTCATCGGAATCGCCAGCAGCACTCCAATACTCTCGATTTATTCTTCCCAGATCCGGAGAGGACTTCAATTGTGTTTAGTTCTTCCTATTGCTTCTCTGCGTCAAATCGAAAATGAGGGAGAAGAGAGCAAGCAGATGAAAAGACTATTTTGGCCCCTAAACTAACGGTGAAGGGACGGATGGATAACGGAAGGACTATTGCTGGAACAACTTCGAAAGTTAAGTGTCTTTTTCGTCCAAATTAAAAGTTGGGGACCAATTTTGGAAAATTGCAATAGTCGGAGGATCATGGCTGGAATTAACTCTTATTCTCATTTACTCCCTATATGTTCTGAAGGTCAAAAACTTCATTATTTTTTTCTTGAAAGCAAACAACTTCAATTAAGAACATTCCAATTAAAAGTAGGGGGAATGAATAATCATTCTGTAAGATGTGACAAACAAATGACATGCCTAGCAAGTACTTCCCGATTTGCAAATCATTTTACAAAAGTGAAGATTAAATTAAATTATGAAACTCTCTAGGCAATGTGTTGATATCTCTCACCAAAATTTTGTTTCTCTTTCACGGAGCGCAATTGCGGTGATTTTAGTGTCCATAAAAATCTATGACTATCCTCTACAACTTTCATATTTAGAGTTTTAAGAGATTCAAGATAAATAAGAGTAAAAAGTAGATAGATTTTGACGCACCCATGGACATAGGCCTGTGATATGCTAATAGTAGTTTGGTCATATCTCTTTCATATAAAGTTCAATTGATGTTATTTAAGTTTCCTTGGAAAGTCAAGAGAGTCCTCTACAACTTTCATGTTCAAAGTTTTCAGAGATTCGGTCCAAAATATGAAGAAAAATAGAAGAATAAATCTACTTGCGTGCCAATTTTATAGAATCTATTTAAGCTGCATTTTAACCTTTTTGGTGGACTTTTCAACCATAGGCTTCAAAAAATGTTCCAATGAACATCTTTTAAAACCTTGCTTTCCAAGGAATTAGCTTTGCAGAAAAGAAAGCAATCGTTCAAGAAAAAGATATGAGAAATTCTAGGTCCTTGTTTGGAGATAGAAATTTCAAGAACAGCACTAAACTGCTCCTATTTTCTAATCATGCTACTTAAGCCTTCAAGTGTGGAGAGCTGTCATTGTATTAACAGTGATGGAAGACAGGAAGCAATATGAAGGTTTATTCATGGTGAACTGTACAATGCAAAAACTGAACCAAAAGTATCTAAGGCTACTGTTTTATATCAATTTTAGTGGCAGTTATAACAGAAATGAAAGGGAAAGGAAATTACAAGAATATCCTTGTCTTCTAAGTGTATTTCATCACACCCCCCCCCCCCCCCCCCCCCGCGTAAGGTAGAGCATGAATGTCTTAAAGGCCCAGGTTAGAGTGGAAGTTGTCAAACATCAATCTTGGCAATGTCTTAGTGAATCCATCAGCAACTTGTTTTTTGTGAGGGTATGGACATCATCTTTATTACTCCTTCATATACTTTATGTTTAACAATATGACAGTCTATCTCAATGTGCGTAGTCCGTTCATGAAAGACATGATTCTCTCCTATTGCAATTTCAGATTTGTTATCACAAAATAGAGCAGTAGGGCTGTTAGGCTTCACTCTCAGGTCTGCTAGCAAATATAGAAGCCACTGAATCTCACAAACTGTAGATACTAGAGCCCTATACTTAGCTTCAGAGGATGATCTGGATATAGTGGCCTGTTTCTTTGTTTCCATGAGATTAAGGACTCTCCAAGATAAATGCAATAGCCAATAACATACTTTCTAGTTTCTGCACAAGTGGCCCAATTAGAATCAGAGAACCCTTGAAGTCTGATTTTAGAGATTGTTGGATAGAATATCCCCTTCCAGGAGACCCTTTCAGGTACCTCAATACCCTGTGAGCAGCCACAAGGTGTGTGTCTCTAGGCTTGTCAACATACTGACTTAGTTGTTGAACTGCATAGGAAATATCTAACCTAGTGTTGGTTAGGTACAATAACTTTCCAACTAGCCTTCTGTAGATTTTTGGTTTATCAAGGATTGTCCCTTCAAGAGTTTCAAGTTTTTATCCTGCATTGATAGGTGTGTGCAGGTTTAGCATCCAAGAAGCCATTCTCTTCTAGAATTTCTAAGGTATATTTCCTCTGGCATAGATTGAGACCATCGGAGGTTCTGGATGCTTCAATCCCCAAGAAGTAGTTCAGATGGCCAAGATCTTTTATCTTGAAGGTCTTGTCCAAGAATTGCTTCAACCTATTAATCTGCTGAGAATCTGAACCTACAACCAAGATATCATCAACATAGATGAGTAGGGCAATGAATGATGTGTCTGAAACTTTGGTAAATAGGGATGGATCTGCTGTGGACTGCTTGGAGCCATTGTCTTGTAGAGCTTTTGTTAGTTTAGCATTCCATTGTCTGTTCGCTTGCTTTAAGCCATACAAGGACCTCAACAGTCTGCAAACCTGCTTGTTATAATTCTGAAAGCCAGGGGTGAGACCATATACACTTCCTGTTTTAAATCTCCATGTAAAAAGGCATTATTAATGTCCAACTGTTGGATGTCCCATCCCTTTGTAGTGGCTACACCTAGAAAGGTTCTGATTGTTGTCATCCTAGCCACAGGAGAGAATGTTTCAATGTAGTCCACTCCTAACTGCTGAGTGTAGCCCTTTGCAACCAATCTAGCTTTGTGCCTTTCTATGGAACCATCTGCTTTATGTTTCACCTTGTACACCCATTTGCATCCAATGAGAGTTTTTCCTGGTGGCAAATCTGTAAGTATCCATGTTTTATTCTCAACCAAGGCATCTATCTCACACTGTATTGCTTTCCTCCATGCTGCTTCTTTAACTGCTTCATTGTATGACTGTGGCTCCTGTGTGGCCAGAATAGAGGATGTACATATCCTATGATTTAGAGGTAAGTAGTCATATGAGATAACCTTGTTAATTGAATGTGGTGATGATCCATAATGATGGTTGCCTGTAGTCATTGAATGTCAATAATAGTCTTGTAGCTTTGTAGGTATATTCCTTACTCTTTCTGATCTCCTTGGTTCTGACTGAATATCTATTTGAACTATTTCTTCTTCTAGTGCTGTGGCATTACATGCCTCATTGGATAATTCATTGTTTGGACTGTCATTTGTACCCACACTATCAGTGTTGTAAGGCAGATGACTGAACATGTGAACCCTTTCTGATGTTTGGTTCTAATTTTCAATATTGTGAGCCAGAGGTCTGGGACTGTCAACCCTTTCTGACACTTGGTTCTAAATTTCAGTTCTTTCTCTGGTTTCCAAGGGTGTTGTGTTAATCTCAGTGGAAATTGGGATCAAGGGTAGCACAGGATCAAACATCAGTTTTTCATCATGGGATCTTGCATTGGCTTCTGGTTTGTGCCCCTTAAGAGGATAGATGTGTTCATAGAACTGAACATCCCTGGAGACAAAAACATGCTTGTTAGCAATATCATATAGTATGTAACCTTTCACATTGGCAGGAATTCCCAAGAATATGCATTTCTTGGCTCTTGGTTCCATTTTATTTCCTCCTTGAGGGATAATAGATCTAAAGCACAAGCAACCAAAGGCTTTGAGGTGATGGTACTCCACACTTTTTACCAAACAATACTTCAAAGGGGGGCTTCTCACCAGACTTGGCAGGGGGCAACCTGCTAATAAGATAAGAGGCATGCATGACACAATGACTCCAGAACTCTATAGGCAATCCAGATTGGAATCAGAGTGCCCTGGCTACATTTAGGACATGTTGGTGCTTTCTTTCTGCAACTCCATTCTACTAGGGTGTGTACACACAAGACTTTTGGTGCACAATTCCCTTTTCATTGTAAAAGTTACTCATTAGAAACTCAGTGCCATTATCTGTCCTCATGGCCTTAATTTTAGTGGAAAACTGAGTCTAAACATAGTTGTAGAAGTTCTGGAATAAGGTTTTAACCTCTAACTTGTTTCTCATTAGGTGTAGCCATGTAAACCTGCTATAGTCATCCACAATTGTCAAAAAATAGTGTTCTCCTTTTATAGAAGCCACAGGAAAGGGGCCCCAAACATCCATATGTAAAAGATCAAAACACTTTTCAGTTCTAGAATTACTGATGGGAAATGCAGACCTTTTATGTTTTTCAAAATGACATGCTTCACAAACAATATCAGAAGATTTACACAACTGAGCATCTTTTATTCCATTCAAAGATGGTATCTTATTCACAAGATAGTGCCCTAGCCTACAATGCCACAGTTCTAAAGATAGGCTATTACATTTGACCATTTCATTAGGCTGAGTATTCTTCCTTTTAGCAGGAGGATTAGTGATCAGAAGTAAGCCATTCCTTTCTTTAGAAAAACCATCCATCATCCCATGATGGCCCTGAATATTACAGGAATCAGTACCCATAATGATCTCATATGGTCATTGTTTGATTAGCTTGCTAGCAGAGATAATATTGAATGTGAAAGAGGGAATGTACAGCACATTACTTAGCAGTAGGTTTAAATGCAATCTGATTTCACCTATGTGTGTTACAGTTACTGTCTCTCCATTAGGCAACTTGACAAAAATTCCATAAACTTTGTGATAGCTTTCAAAATAGTCTAGTGAGCATGTGATATGGTCAGTAGCACCTGAATCTAAAATCCATATGGTAGAGGAAGATATGTCATTATTAATGTGAAGATTAGAGATGAACCTACCTTCATTGGATTCTAACTTCTTCCCAGAATTGTTCATTGTTATAGCAGTATTTGTGGAAATTTGTTTCTCTTGGTTCTGACTATGCAGTAAAGTCAGAAGTCTTTGAAACTGATCAGCAGACATCCCTATATCCCCAACCTGATTTATAGAAGCATTTGGACATCTTGATTCTGCATATTTTTGGATTTGTATCCTGCTATCCAGCCAGGGGGATAGCCATGCTTCTTAAAGAATTTCTCAACAGTGTGACCACTCATATTACAGTAGGTGCACTTAGGCACATTCCTTCCACCATTATTGTTGA